GTTCAAATAGTGAGAAAAAATCATACTGTGTTTGTATGTGAAGAAGTAGGTACTGTTCCCTATAGCAGTGGTTCTTCTTTTTGTTCTCGGTTACCCAGGTACGCCAAAGTCGGTACAATCGAAGAGACTCTCTTGATTTGAGTCGGCGGAGAGACCAGTCGCGGAACACTTGCTTGTCGTGTTCGAGAGGATTGTAGTCGGGGATGTCGATGTCGCCGGTAGGCGGCATATATCTGGGTGGGGTTGGAAGGGGTCAAACAGACAAACAGGGAGACTCCGCCTCAGGGCAAAGTCTGCACAAGTTTCGTTACCCTTCCAGTAACTCATCAGTATCTGTTTATATATGGAGAGAGCTCACGATCTAGACCGTGGGCTCTCGGGGTGCCAAGACCATATATCCTATCTACACGCATCTAAACCTCCTTATCCGGAGGTTTTGCTAAAGATATCGCCCAATGATATCTAGAGATACGCGAGTCGCCCAATGGGAGCCGAAGCACAAAGTGCTGAGGCATCCAAATTGGGGAGGATCTGACAGTGGCAGACGTGGGAAGCGGTCTGCCAGTGCTACGGATCCCTGGGCGTGTTATGTGTACGCTGCCAAGGTAATAACACTTCAATAGGCTAATGTCTAGTTTCTTCAGTCTCTTCTTCGGGCACTTCAGGTTCTAATACAACTCCACGAAATCTAACACCTCGTCTAGTAGTGGAAGGTTCAATGGATTCAGTTAAAGGTACGGTAGAGGCAATAGGTAAAACGGATCGAGAAAGCAGGTCTTGAACAAAACTCCTAACACTTTCAGGAGCGATGGGCAACTTGTTTGTTGATTGGTTAACTGGGGAACGTCCTTGAGAAGAAAGAGGATAAGGCGGAGCAGTAGGACTAGATAGAGAAGGTGGAGCTACTCTAGGAGTAGATCTAGGAGTAGAGCGACTAGAAGTAGAGGTACCAGAACGTAGATACGTTAAGGGAAAAGTAAGACAGTTAGTTTCTTGTATAACGGTGGTATCAACCGTCTTATAAGAAAACCTCACCCCGTTGGCCGTATACACACCCGGTGTCATCGCCCAAGTCAGCTGTAGTTCGATAATAAATCCGGTAGACGGATCCGATATAGGGCTCCATGTTCGTCACAAATCGTTTATCGGAATGCTTCGTTTTGAGCGAGATACAGAGGTAGCAAGTTTGGGAGGTGAGTGCCATTTCCTCGAGATATATGACATCTGTAGTCTCGCCTGTCAGCGATAATTAGTCTAGTACAGTGTATATATACCTGCCGAGAGACATAATACTACAGCTCTGCTGGTTAGCTAGATAATGAGGTGACATGTGGAAATGCCTATGACTTTGAAGGGCTTCTCGATTCTCTGCCTTGTAGGCATCCGCTCGATGTATTGTAAATGAATATGAGATATAAATATTAAACAATGAATTTACATGACATAATACAAGTGCCAAAATGCTCCTGTGGTGAGAATACGAAATCCGGGGGAGGAGGAGGTTTCTCTGTCAGAACGAAGCTTTCTGACGTCGAAAGGAGGTAGCAGGGGTAATTTTATATTCTAAACATGATGAAAGAGATAGAATGACTTTAGCCTTCCTGGATAGTGCTGGAATGAGGTAAGAAGTGGTGAAGCGGGATGTTTGGGGTATTCCTCTGCGGTTATGACGTTCAAACTTTCGCTTCGTGTGTATTATAGTACATAGTAATATTAACGAGATTTACATGACCTCAGAAAGGCCAGTAATCCTTCTATTCTCTCCTATCCTGCAGGCCCATGTCTCTCCGCTATACCAGCAATCTGATAGCGCCGCTTGATGGTGTATATGAGTCTATAGAACTATATATCACATAGGCGGCAAGTATCACTAGCAGCTGGGCCATTCCAGCCTCATTC